ATCATATTCATGTTCAGCGTACCAAATAACCCCACTAGACGAAGTTTCAGCCAAATTCAGGATTTTCATTTTTTGGGTCAACTAATGTGGAATAGTACCGTTTTTGGTCTCGCCTAGATTGCGATTCTATCATTTAAAGTCCTTGCATCTAAAATGGACGAAATCGAATGAAATTTGATGTTTGGAAAGCGCTCGTGATTCTCTAAAATTCGTTCATGTACCACTGATATAGCTGAGAATGATCTAATTTTTTGAGGGGTGTGGATTTTCACTAGCGCTAACCGTTTTATATTTACACTATGAAAACAGAACTACAAAAAGCAGACAAGAATCAAAACGACAAAGATGACTGATCGCTGAGTTTTGTTGTGTGAAATAAGACACCTGTCTACAAACATCCCCTTTACACTTGAGAACAGCTGATAGTCATAGCATTGTCTCCATCGCTATGATGAAGGACTCACAAATCAAAGACTAATCACTAAAGAGTATAACAAGCATTTAGAACATCAAATGCAAGCAGATACTTCTTCAAAACAAGAATTCTTACGCAGCAACGGAGAACAATAGCAGATATATCAAATTCTTACCTTTCGCGCTTCTCACTCGAAATCGTTTGACTGGGAGCTTCGGTCTCCAGTTGACAGCTTGTTGATTCCATCATTTCGAAAGACTCTCAGCATAACTAAATTTTTTATTATTAACAATACAAGACAACAAACAATAAACAAGAACAGCAAACAGAGAATTATGACAATGAAAACGGAAAAATTTTTGGATCTAGAATCAACGAACTCTGTAAAGACGAGAATTGACTCTTCGACAATCAACTGATAATTTTTTCCAGTACAAGGCAAACACAGAGAATGACAATGTCACAAAATTTAGCCAACGAAGCAGAAAACACAGATCCCTGCGGCACGGCTCGATGCCTTTGAGTCGCAGATCTGCATTGCGCAGATGTCTTGGCGACTCAAAAGCATAGAACCGTGACGGTGATTTACAACCACTGGAATAAGCGAAAAGAGGGACTGGTTGCATAATTATCCTAGAGGTAATAAAATGATCCTGTATAAAATATAAGATTCCAAATTTATATACAGACTATGTCAACTGCGGATTCCGTTTTTACTAGTACAACCGCTGCGCGAGCGTCTCGCGTCAGTCTCGCAAATAGGCACGTGCCAAACTAGATCCACTTGATCCAGTCCACTTCCTTATTGGTCAAATCAGTGTGAACTGATTAATAGCGGAGTGGAATGAAGTGGAAAATGCGGGCTCTTCGTTATTGGTCAATTCTATATAACCAATAGCGAAGTGGATGAAGTGGATCAAGTAGATCAACTGGCGTCCAATAAGGCCAACTTCAGGGTCCAACCTATGTCCCGCGAGCGCGCGCGAAGTTCTGGCGCAGCGGCTGCTTTTTTGAAAAAGTAAGTCACCGTTGACACAGGCTGTAGCAACAGCATTTAATCAGATAGGTTCATGAGTAAAACATTCAGAAATCAATTCCACATGGACCTTTTGAATTTTGAGTCTCATCACCAAATGCAGGTGGTAGATGCAGGATAGATACATCAAAGCTACTTCTCTTCTGGGTAAATACCAGATCTTCAGGTGGGCTGTGCGTTCCAGCAGAAGTGATCCTGGGTAACCGCAAAATCCTCAGATAGCCATGGTACTTATCCAATGGGGACAACTTGCGTTGTTCTTCTTCAGATATGGCAAGTAGCTGGATATAAAGGTCCGAAGTGACAAAAAGTTCATCCGCAAGTTGTTTTTGCATAGTTTCGCTGGCTGCAGTGGCGAATACGATAGCATGGGAATTCCTGAGTAAAGACCGAAGCCGAATTATGAAAACTGAGAAATTTGCGGGGTCACTCCAAAGTGGCGAGCCCAAGTGACCAATGACGATCCTAAGCAGGTTCTTGGTGGGACCGCGAGTCTTATTGTACAGATCGCTTTTGCAAAGTGTAGATAAATGTTTGAATAGCGCTTCGTAGCTGTATTCTGCACCATACGTCAATCTTTGTGATGCAAATTCACTGTCGCTAAGCGGCTTTCCAAGGTCGTAGCGATTCTTATCGCCAATGGACGAGTTCACTTGAGGTTTGGCTGCATATCTGAACGCTATCCGAAGATCCTCTTGGGGATTTGAGATGTCATGACGGGGAGAAGAAGATACTGTGGATGAATCTGGCTTGTTTTGAGCTTCAATCATTGTAGGAACTCCCTTCCAAAGCTTGTCTTCACCCACGGGATCGACGACCAGCACATCATGGCCACTGTAAAGTCCTTCAGCAATGAAGTAACGAGCCAAAGAATCCGCATAAGCTCTTGATTTCAACTCGTCGATGACACAAAATGTTGATACGGCTAGCCCTCCGCCGAGCAGTGCATCCAAAGCTGAACAACCACAGGACGTTTCCAGACTGCGTCCTTTCAGAGTACAACCTTTTAGGCGCACAACGTCTCCGAGATTCATCGTCCTGGAAATTGGGAGATTGTAATAAGAGGAAATGACGCATACCAACAGTCAACAAAATTTGAAGTGTTTCGGTTCTTGCCCTCTATTTGCTTCAAATATTATACTTGCGCAAGAATGGGAACATGAAAACGCGTTGCTACATTAAAGTTCAAATTGCTCTGGAACGAAAAGGTGACAAGCAAGAGAAGGTGAAGTCCTACTGGTATCTGAATCCAGAAATATCAATTCTAAGGAAATCACGGAACTTTGTATACACTTGGCATCAATGTTAACTCATTTGGTGCATTGCACAACTTTTCGCTGCAGACTTTAGGTAGGTGCAGAGCTGTCCGGTTCACTCAATTGCTATTGATCAAATCACGGAGTTGACCAATAGCGAATGGAGTGAACCGCATGAATGGTTGAACCGGATAAGGCTAGCTTCATACTGATCCGTAAGTTTCGGAACAGTTCCAGCACAGTGCTCGAACTGCGCGCTATGCTGGAACTGTTCCGGAACTTACGGATCAGTATGAAGGCAGCCTAAGACGGGCATCTGCCTTTATGATGCAGAAAGTCATCAAGCGAAATTTGTTTGATTCTGTTTTGTGTCATTCCATCTTTTCTTTTTCTGTTGGCAAAACCTCTTATGTGCTTTGAAGTCTTTATACCATATGCAGTGATTTTGAAGATGACTCTCTGTTCCTAGAAAAGCGCAGACGCACGTTTACAATGTGCCGCCGTTACAGGAACAATCTTTTATGATTACTTCTCGAATTTGGTACTATGCAGGTCTTCTTGACCCATGGGTTAGATATCTATCTAAGAATAGTTTCAGAAGGTCATTTTTGATCTCACAAAAGCTAGCGCCAGGGCCCAGCAAGAGGCTGCATTTGAAAATTTCAAAAACGAAGTCCCCTTTGACATCGCAGAAAATT